GAAAATTGTTCTAAAATATATGTATTCTGTATTTGACAAACAGTTCATTCGACAAATGAAAACTCACAGGAATATGTTTCAGCTATTAGAACAGAATGATAGAGTTTTTATAATACTGGTTTAAAAACGCACTTCAAAGATTGCAGTGTTTGAAGATGTAGGTTCTCAGGAGGCAACAGTACTGTTTACTTCTCCCTCCACTGGACACCAACTAACTATTTGAAGCAGAGCTTGCAACATGATAGCTATTCATAAAGGGTGTTTTTTTTTTACTTTTCATATAATACAGTAGTCACACAATGAGGCAGTTCATATTTGTCTCAGTGAATCATTAATTTGTGACAGACACCTGTACAAAATACTTGGACAAAAGCCAGCTAAGATTTTCTGTTATCTTGCATGTTTTATGAATCTATGCACGTCTAAATGCAGCACTTTTCTTTTGCAATGAGGCATTTGTTTTTATACTAAAATATCTGAATTACTTTGAATAAAGCTGGAAATTATGTCCCTTAAAATAATTAAACAAATAAGGCACCAATGTTTTTGTAAGATATTTACATCTTTAAAGGACATTCGGTAGACTGATTCCCCACTGTTAGTTCAACCCCAAAACTTTTTTGTATTCAAAATTAATTATGACAATGTATATTTATATTGAAACAAACTATGTTAAAGGGAATTATATTATATAACAAAGGGCAAGGTCACCAGAGTTCAACTATGTTATTAGTATAATAATGATACACAAAATATCTGAATAGTTGAGCTCTCTATAAATATGACATCGGATTCAGTTTGCATGTGGAAAGATTCGAGTGTATGTTTATTAATAATAATTCAATTAAAACTTCGACAAAATGATAGAAGTTGGCACATATGACTTTGCCTCTCCAATAACACAACACAGACCTGCGATCAACAATACAGCTCATATGACGACCAATACCTTTGCCCATGAACATGAAAACCTGACCATGGTAGAATCATCCTCGCTGACCGCTATAGGGATAATATGAGCAGTCAGTTCCCATGGCAACAAGTCATAGCCTACTCGGCGTATTGAGGTATTAGAGCGTCGCCATTGTTGTTGTTGCTATGAACAATACCCACTTTCCTCGTGAAACACCACAACTAGTATGGAAACGAATTTACGCATTATAATAGTAGTATTTAACATAATTATGTAATTAAAGTATTTTTTTGTTTTTTTTTCGGTTAGATGATGTATACGAAATTTGTATGTTATTTTTCGATTGCAACTATTTAGTTTCATAATCACCTCTGAACTTTAACCGCGATATAGCAATATCTATATTCCTCAGTACCGAAAATTAGATTGTAGCGTTCAGGGCGGAATCCCACATAAGAATTGCCCTGGTTAGCCTACGCTCATCCAATCTAAACTCCGTTTCAATATCGAAGCATAAAAGTATATTAATGTTTCTACGTATACGTTGAAAGTACGGCTTTATTAATCAGAGAGAGATACGTCTGCACTTGTAGTGGTATGGGTTCTTCATATTACCATACATCTTGCAAAATGCGGTCCCCGTTAAATAAATCTAAATCACACCTTGCTGCGGCTGTACAGCGTACACCATTTTGAAACTGGCAACATCTGGCGACAAGAAACTGTTATTCAGGCATGATTTAAAAGGTTCAAATCATATATAATATATACAATAGAAATAATCGCACACGTGTACAGGATTAAGTGTACATTGTGGCAGTTGAGCAAACGTAGACAAAAGAAATGTGCCGTACTACAGTAAGTATATCTCTTCATTGTAGTAAGCTGAATATTTACCTATTGCCCATGAATAAATGACATACTCTTTTCTTTATATAAGATTAGGCAAACAACCAAATAACAGAAGACGGTGTGCAATCGCTACATCTAATCAAGACCCATCTGTACGCAAATATACAGAGTCAATTTACTGAGTAAGAATACCATAACAGGTATTCTATTATTTTCATAAAGCATGGCAGCTCAAAATTGAGAATACAACAAAATATAATGCTGAAGATAAATGATGTGTGATAATATTTACACTTTCCATTCAGTCGAAAAAAATATTATTTATTTGCTGCTCTAAAAAAACTGGGA